TTCGACAATTTGAATCAATCATTTTATTAACTACGCATGTAGATTATCTATGAATAAAATCAGTTTGATTTAATAATTATAATCACATATTTTGATGATATTTATGAGCAAAAAAAAAAATATAGGCAATGAAGATAATTTTAAAACTAAACCATCCATTTTTTTTATTATAGACAAAATAAGAAAATTGTGTGTTATAATTATTGAATCAATTTAAATTTTTTTTTAAATTATCTACACCAACAGTCCAACAAAATGAACAGTCAAAAAAAAAAAGAAAAAAGAACGCTTTAATCGTCAAAGTGAGTAGTAGCGGAACCCCAAAGACCCAACAACACCACTTATTCAGAAATACTTTGCAGAATAAATGAAGCCTCTCTTATTGTATGGTGCATGCAGCTTGTGGAGCAAGTGGAGTAATATATGGGATAATACAAATAGTGACAGGGTGGGCATGTTGCTACTCATGCACTTATCGTTCAAAGATGAGGAAGCAATACAAGCTGCGCGAAAGTCCTTGTGCAGACTTCTTCGTTCATTGTTGTTTCGAGTCCTGCTCCTTGTGTCAAGAGTCCCGTGAGCTCACAAACCGTGGATTCGACTTGGCCAAAGGCAATCTCTCTCTCTCTCTCTCTCTCTCTCTCTCTCTCAGTGTGTGTGTGTTCGTTCATATGTGTATGATTGGGTCTGTCTCTGTGTATACATCTATCTATACTATACCTATCTGTTGGTGAGATTGTCATTTTGAAACTATAAGTCATTCATTATACAAATTACAAAAATCTAAAATCTTTAAAAATATGACACATCATTTGTTTGTACATTAATTAATACACCAATTGATATATATATATATATATATATATATAACATTATTCATTTATAAAGCAAAGGTTTCACTTGCCAAGTTTGGCATGATTAAAAAAAGACAAAAAGTCAAAAAGTCACTATCCTATTTAAGTCACATCATCTTATTTAAGTCACATCACCTCTCTAACACATCACTTCAAACTCAACCCAAACCCAACCCATATTTCATAAAAAGTCAAAAAGTGCACTTATTTAGTCTTCGAAATAGAATTTTTGTACTTACACCAAATTCAACTTTAGTCTTTTCACTTTAATACTTAAGTTAGTTTTTGAAATGACGTCATAAAACTACAACCAATCACAATTTGACTCAAAATTTAGAGGATTGACTTGAATAATTGACGAGTTAGGAGTATAATTAAGTATAGAATATAGAGGTATAAAATAAAATTCGCTCCTTATGTATTTAATCAAATTTTGTGTCCGTGGACATAAGCTAAATGTGTGGAATCACAACAATTTCTTTATGTTTTTCTTATTCTTATATTTGTCACCATTTTTTTTTAAATTTTTTTTTTTGTTAAAATGCAATATTTAAGTAAATCACATTGTTGGTTCTTCTAGTTTCAATGAAATTTTTATTTTAGTCTTCATAATTTTAGTTTCATAAATTTAAACCCTACACCTCTAATTTTATTTCAATGTTATCCTTAAGTCAATTGCCGACCAAAATAAAATTTGTAAGAAGCTATAGTTGTCAGATATCACCCCATGTGAGGGGTGATTCTCTTCTCCATGTGTTGCAGCTTCTTCCAACTTACAAAGTCACAAAGGTGAGCTGGCCATGTGAAGGAATAAGCTGGCCATGTGCAAGGCCAGCTATGACTCTCTACCATTCCTCCATCTTCATGTGTATAAATGGAGAGGGTGAGAGCAGAGGGAAATGAGAGAGATAGAGCAAACCAAAGAGAGTGAGAGATGTGAGGCGGAGAGATTGTCTCTCTCGGTGTGAGCAAGGAAGATGGATGAGTAGGTGAGTGAGAAGAGTGTGAGCTCCCCCTCTATTGTAATCTTTCTGTAATCTCTCCATTGTTATAGTGATAATCGACTATTCTCCCGTGGACGTAGGCATTGAGGCCAAACCACGTTAAATATGGTGTCTCCTTGAGTGAGGATGTGTTTTTTCTGCTTGGTATAATTTCTAGAAGGTCTTGGACGGGATCCCCAATCCCAACAAGTGGTATCAGAGCCCAGGTGGTGAAAAATCGAGTTTTTTCTGAAAGTGCCCAGATTTCGAAGTAACTGAAATCCACTTTCGAGCATACTAGGAGGAAGCCCTAGAGGAGAGAAGTCCAGACGCAGAAACAAAAGACAAAATGGAGCGTCGGCCCAGTCGCGTACACGCGCCCCACGCGTGGCGGAAGGAAGAAGATGAGTGAGGGAGCGCATGTAAGAAACGCCCACACCACGCGGCGCCACGTTAGAGCTACGTCAGCAGAAGTCAGTGACACGTGTCATCCATGTCATCGCCACGTGACCGTCCAGGCATCGACACATATTGTCCACGTCATCGACACGTGGCAGTTCAGTCAGTACCACGCCAGCACGGTCGTGCCACGTCATCTGCCACGTCATTACGAAAGAGCTATCCAGTGGTGCGCGGCTAAAGTGTAGCCGTAGGAGAAAGGATCCAGTGCTTTGCGGCTAAGGTGTAGCCGCAGATCTGAGGCGTACAAAATGTTTTGGCTTGATCTAAGCCATTCGGACTCCGTTTCTGAGAATCCAATAGTGCTTTTCAACTATTTGAAGTATTCCGGACACATCCGTATGGTCAGATTTTTTGAGTCGGAGTTGTTGCAAAAAGAAGGAAGATCAAAGTGGCAGATGGCGTCAGGTGCAGTGGACAGAATATTCTATTGGAACACGAAATATTCCCTGAACTTCTGAATATTGTAATTTGGCCCAGAATTTTTAGAAAAATTGTAGTGTGGCCCAACTTTCGGGGATGTTTTTTAGTGAGGTCCTCGGAAGTGCAACGAAAGTTGGTCCTAACTAAACGGACCGCTCCGGACGCAACCGCAAGGTTAGAATAGTGAAATTCTGAACGGTTTTTTTTTTTAAGATTGTCAAAACATGGGAGTTTGTCATCTTCAATAGTCGAAGGAAAGTTGCCGGATATTGTGGAACGCTGCGGATTCACTGAAGAGGTTAGAATAGGTAGATTCTAACCAGATTAGATAACCATATACAGATTGAGATAGATCATTGAAGACCAAAGGAGATCAGGCTTGATCAAATGGCGAATTGAGGGAGATCAGGATTGGTTAAGGGCATTCAAAGGATTGTAGAGATGATTATCTCCGAAGTTCATCGAAAAATCTAGTTCAATCAGAAGATAAGACCATTCATCGACAGATAGATGATTTGGCAACCAGTTCAGGCTCAGGGAAATGTTGTGGCTGTTTGAGCTACTGTATACGAGTAGATACTGGTAGTACGTGGACGTGTAGAACAATAGTTGCAGAGGAGCATACTGAGCGCAAGCATAGACATACAAAAGCACAAGTGAGTACGTAAGAGTGTTGTACAAGATGCAGATATACAGTGCAGAGAAGACGCAAGAAGAGTGTGTAGCAATGGGTTGTTGAAAGTTCACAAGAACTTCCAGACAGATAAATTAAGACAGATAAAACGCAAGAGCGTGCGCCAAAGAGTGGTAAGTCTTTTTTTTTTTTTCACTATGGTGGTTTCTTGAGTTCCATGGCAGCGGAGGACAGAGTTGATGTGGATCTCTCAAGCGAGCTCGACGCAAGGAGACCAGAAGCCATGGGTGCAAGCACTATGCAAGGAATTGCATAGCTGACGATGCTTTGATAGATGGAGCTACTGTCAACCATCAATCTACTAGACAGCAAATCAGGGATTACAAAGGCACAGACGACGAGCGTATGGAAATGCTAGGAGGTTGTTCAGAAGTGCAGACGGCAAATGCTGATAGTTTAGAGGAAAAACTTCGAGCAAAGAAGACAGAGGACGTTGATGGGATAAACAATGAGTTTTCTATTGATCCAATGACTGGTCCTGCGAGGTAATGCATAACAGTCAAGGGCATCCTAGTAGGGGGTGTATGACATTCAATCATGGGGTGTCGAATATCTTGGTTATGCAAGTTCAAGCACAGCAAGTGAAGGCATCCAAGACCTGAAGCGTGGAAGAGATTTGTAGAAGATAGGAGCAGAGGCTCTCTCCAAATTAGAGAGTAGTGTGAGTTGAGTTGAGGAAGTAGGATTCCCTCCTCCTCTTATATCTTTGGTATATTATCTCTAGCTTCAGGGGGTGCAAACATCTCAGTGAGGAGAAGTTGACTATGCTGAAATTTTTTGAGTGTGACAAGATTAGCAACAGTGTATGCAGTGGATCACCTCACATGGGTTGAGGGGGTGATTTGTTAGATATCACCCCATGTGTATGGTGATTCTCTTCTCCATGTACTGCAGCTTCTTTCAACCTACAAAGTCACAAAGGTGAGCTGGCCATGTGAAGGAATAAGCTAGCCATGTGCAAGGCTAGCTATGACTCTCCACCATTCTTCCATCTTCATGTGTATAAATGGAGAGGGTGAGAGCAGAGGGAAATGAGAGAGATAGAGCAAACCAAAGAGAGTAAGAGATGTGAGGCGGAGAGACCGTCTCTCTCGTGTGAGCAAAGGAGACGGATGAGTGGGTGAGTGAGAAGAGTGTGAGCTTATTCTCTATTGTAATCTTTCTGTAATCTCTCCATTGTTATAGTGATAACCAACTATTCTCCCGTGGACGTAGGCATTGAGGCCGAACTACGTTAAATATGGTGTCTCCTTGAGTGTGGGTGTGTTTTTTCTGCTTGGTATAAATTTTAGAAGGTCTTGGGCGGGATCCCTGATCCCAACAATAGTACCACTAGTGTATTATTTATTTTTCTTGCTTTTGTGGGAAGTGTTGAAATTTTCACGGTAGTTGCATGCAATTTTTTTTTTTCATCCAAAATGCTAACAAGTGACGAAGTCACCATATTAAAATGCAATTGAAAGTGTGGAACTTAAACTGATGAAACTAAAATTATGAGAAATAAAATAAAACATACTCAAATTAGAAGAGCCAACGATGTAATTTGTCCTCCAATATTTGGCATAAACTCTTTTCTTTTTTTCACAGGCTGCAAGACGTGCTGGTGCCCATGCATTACTTTCGGACAGATTGCTGAGATTGTGGACGAAGGAAAAACCTGTACGTCGTAGAAACTCACAAGAGGGAAAATTAATACTTAGCCCTCGTTTGGCAATTAGTTGCATTAGTCAAAAAGCAAAAAATCCAATGTAGAATCTGTAACTCATTATCTCTAATAGTTTGAGTAGGTTGATTTTTTTTTTTTTTAAATAATTTATATATACTTATCGAGTAGACTAATATATTAGAAAAGCTTAACAAGTTTATATAAAGATTCAATATTAAATTTTAAAGTAGTTAGTTTGATTATTTTTACAACTCTAAAAATTGCGAGTCATAGACGAAATAAATGAATCACAAAAAAACAATTGCGAGTTATAGACAAAATAAATGAATCACAAAAAACAACCTAATTATATATGCTTATATATCATTATTTAAATATGCACTTTATTTTAAAATAATAAACTTTAACATAGTCACATCATTATGTATATATTTACTTTCTTTTGACGGAGGCATTTTTGTTGGAGGAGTTGTTGAGTTTTGTGGGGCTCAATACAAATCCTATTACGACAATTTGAACCAATTATTTTATTTAATTACGCATGTAGATTATCTATGAATAAAATCAGTTTGATTTAATAATCATAATCACATATTTTGATGATATTTATGAGCAAAAAAAAAAATATAGGCAATGAAGATAATTTTAAAACTAAACCATCCATTTTTTTTATTATAGACAAAATAAGAAAATTGTGTGTTATAATTATTGAATCAATTTAAATTTTTTTTTAAATTATCTACACCAACAGTCCAACAAAATGAACAGTCAAAAAAAAAAAGAAAAAAGAACGCTTTAATCGTCAAAGTGAGTAGTAGCGGAACCCCAAAGACCCAACAACACCACTTATTCAGAAATACTTTGCAGAATAAATGAAGCCTCTCTTATTGTATGGTGCATGCAGCTTGTGGAGCAAGTGGAGTAATATATGGGATAATACAAATAGTGACAGGGTGGGCATGTTGCTACTCATGCACTTATCGTTCAAAGATGAGGAAGCAATACAAGCTGCGCGAAAGTCCTTGTGCAGACTTCTTCGTTCATTGTTGTTTCGAGTCCTGCTCCTTGTGTCAAGAGTCCCGTGAGCTCACAAACCGTGGATTCGACTTGGCCAAAGGCAATCTCTCTCTCTCTCTCTCTCTCTCTCTCTCTCTCAGTGTGTGTGTGTTCGTTCATATGTGTATGATTGGGTCTGTCTCTGTGTATACATCTATCTATACTATACCTATCTGTTGGTGAGATTGTCATTTTGAAACTATAAGCCATTCATTATACAAATTACAAAAATCTAAAATCTTTAAAAATATGACACATCATTTGTTAGTACATTAATTAATACACCAATTGATATATATATATATATATATATATATAACATTATTCATTTATAAAGCAAAGGTTTCACTTGCCAAGTTTGGCATGATTAAAAAAAGACAAAAAGTCAAAAAGTCACTATCCTATTTAAGTCACATCATCTTATTTAAGTCACATCACCTCTCTAACACATCACTTCAAACTCAACCCAAACCCAACCCATATTTCATAAAAAGTCAAAAAGTGTACTTATTTAATCTTCCCAAACTAGGCCTAAATGGCTGACCAAGTTAGCCAAGTGTTTGGCCAGCCAAGAAGAGAGTGTTTGGCCAGCCAAGAAGAGAGAGAGAGAGAGGGAGAGAGGGGGGCATTGATGAGTGCAGTGGGTGGATCTACTGTATTTTTTAATTATTACTTATTTTATTTATTATTTATATTTATATTTTTAATATACATCTTAACATATTTATTATATCATTACTCACTTTTTAAAATTAATAAATTCTTAATATATTTTAACATATATTTTTAAATTTTATTTTTATCACTTTTTATCATATAAAAACCAAGTTTGACATA